CCTAGTTCTGACCCCTTCATTTGTTAGCTCTAAACCTTGAAGAAGTAATTTTGAATTCAAGGTATCAAAGCTTCCTTTGCAATTGAGAGCACAGGACTGGTGATCTTCCTGCGTAGAATTCACTGACGGCTATATTTTTGGCATACTGAATAATCAGGAGATGCCAAATTTCATATCTTATTATAGTAAAATGGGACAAATAATGAGCATCAACTGTAAACGTGCCTCTGTGCCTTCTTGTGCTAAGGTGAGGATCCTGACACGCAAACCTTTTCACTGAGAAACCCTGTCAACCCACGCTCTTCTGAAGAAGTCCTTTCCAGACTCTGCTACAGGCGACCATGGCCAAGAGGGTGGCCATCATTGGAGCTGGCGTTAGTGGCTTGGCCGCCATTCGGTGCTGTCTGGAGGAGGGGCTGGAGCCCACCTGCTTTGAGAGGAGCGATGACATGGGAGGGCTGTGGAAGTTCTCGGTGAGTGGCACATCTCTGGGACACCAGAGGAAGGGGACGGGTTCCCAGCGCAGAACAAATCTGATTAGTTCTAATTCAGAGCCAGACAGCAGACCACAGAAGCTCCCGATCTGGAAAGTAAAAATCTTACCTCTCCGGTCACACTAACATCTGACCACTCAAAACTACTTCAAAGCAGCAGGACTTATGACTGGAGACAGAGGGTCTGGTGCCAGCAATGAGATAAAAACACGCTACCTCCTTCCCAGGTCGCTGAAAGGCTTCTGTCAATCACTGCTCTTAAAGGTCAAGAATAAGGTAAAAAAAAAAAAAGAAAAACAAATCTGAACTAAGACCAGAAGGCGTGAGTTCTAGTCTCAGCTGTTAGGTTTTCCTAGGCAAGTTGTTTTTTTCCTTTCTGGACCTTGAATACTCATTTGTTAAAAAAAGAAGTTGGAAGATAGGTTCCCTCTAATGAGCTTCCCATTTCTAACAGAATATGAGTCTATGATTAATTTACATCTCTGATGAGATACAAGTGATTATAAATGCTGATTATGTAAGTGGCTATTGGTTATCTATTGATTCCAAACCCAGAGAGAAAAATGGTGGTCTTTGCTATCTGATCATTTATAGAAATGACATAGATTTCAAAAGCCAGGTTTGGAGAGGCTTCTAGCCTTTGTGTCCTGACTCTCCCATTGTGACTGGATGTGAAAGGTTTGTGTTTGGCTTGAAGACATTAAACCCACATCCTTGGTCCCATAACCATCTTCCATTGTTAGTTATTGTCCAACCTGCATCAATGGACTCCTTGGATAGAATTGATCAGTGCTAATTCAAAACACGTTTGTATTCATCTCGAAAGGTGTGTGGCTTTTGTCTTTATTTATTTATTTATTGTTGCTTTACATCTTTGTTTCTATTAAATCAAAAGAATTACACAAGGTCCCTAATTTTGTTTTCCATTACAGAATAATCAAGAGTTAATTTTTTTTTCAAAAATCCCATTCTCTCACATTTGCATTTGCTTAATTTTCTTAAACTAAATCATGAAGTGGCTCTCTACCATCTCTTCAATAACATCTAAATGCTGAAGGAGCCTCTCTTCTGGCAGGGTTTGCGCCAGGAATGAGATGTAAATATGTGGCATGACCCCTCTACTAAAACGGTCCCATCCACTGGAGGAAGCAAGCCATAATATAAGGCCACAGTTTTTTGGAAGCCAGTGGGCAAAACTCATTTAACTGGCAAAACATTTATTGAAAGTCATTAGGTCCAGGGCTGGGGTTGTGGCTCAGGGATAGAGCGCTCGCCTAGCATGTGCAAGCACCACATAAAAATAAGTAAATAAAATAAAGGTATTGTGTCCAACTACAACTAATATATATATATATATATATATATATATATATATATATATATAGTCGTTAGATCCAAATACACAAGTTGAATTGACGTGAGACTAAGGCTCACTTTGTGTGATATGGCAGATATTTTAACACAATAAATTACAGTTTGAAACCCAGGATTTCACCAGGAGTGTTATGGGGCAAAATCCCAAAATGTACACATTTCAAAATAGATTTGGCCCTAAGAATTTCAAGTAAAAGATGATTGAACTTTATAATAACAAGATAACCCGGATGACTGTCAATGGGCAAAGGCCTTGAGATTTTAGAAGTGGACTAGGGAAATCTTAGTGGGTCCAAAGCCAATTCCTGAGCCTTGAAGGATATCCTCAGGCACAGGAAGTAAAGGACCACTGTGAGATGGGATTCCAGAGACTGCCGTTCCTACCCAGTGACAGTCATCAGGTGAGCCAGCCCCAGTACCCCAGGGCATCAACAGCCCCTGAAAGGCACAGAGAAGGCGTAAACTCCTGCATCCAGGGAAGAACCCACATGTTACTGCTGCCACCAGATCAGGAAGTTTATGGGAGCAGTAAGTGACATCAGTAAGATGCAGAATCAGACTCGTGTGACCCACTGTAAATGCAAAATCCTACTCAGAGGCCCAGTGGGGATGTGAACGTGTCCAAATACCTGAAACTTTAGCCTCCTCAACGCACCCCATCCCTTCTTTCTTTTCTAAGGAAAGTGGTGTTGGCACAACATCTGATTCAACAGGGAATTTTTTTTTAATGTGTTATGTAAGCTTTTATCCTGCAAACCTCACACAAGGTGTGTGGAAAGACAGAAATCTGATAACTCAGAACTTTTCACTAGGTGCTTTTCTGAGAAATGGAAACCACGTGGGATTTAAACACTAGCAACCTGAATGTGAGAAAGTTTTACATTTCAGACACCCCATACAGGGCCTCAGGACCTCAAAAGGTTTTATCGTTACTGCAATAAGACATTGTTCAATGTGCAATAGATTAGTGTCATTTTGATCGCAAAAAGAAAAACAATAGAACTGGACTCTGTGGACATTTTTTTCCCACTAATTAATTTATCCACTCAACCAATGCATGCTAAGTACACTACGCGCAGGGTGTGGTCAGGCTATCGCTGCACCAGGGAACCTGTATCATAAAAGTAGAGAGAAAACTAGGGTTAAAATAGCAGAAGTGAAGACCTGGGTACAGCATAAAGGCAGCAGGTGGAGGTGGAGGAGACTCAGTCACTGGTGAGAGGGGAGGGAAGCCAGCGCAAGGAGGCAGGACAGGTGGACAGAGGTGGAGTATGGGGGAAAAGCAGGCCAGAGTGCTGGAGAGTCAGCCCCTGACCTTGCCCTGAGTACTTATGTCCTAGAGAAGAGCGGGGAGGAACACAGATTCCGAGGCCAGCAGTGGTAAGGTCCCGGCAGCGGCATGCACCTCTGGTCCAGGACAAGGTGTCCTGGCAGAGGCAGAGGCAGCCTGTGCCTGCCCACTGGCTCAGGCCTCTCCACGTGTTGAAATAACGAGACGCGGGCCCTGGAGCATTGTGGTTATATAACATGTTTTCTTTTCCTCTGTTTGAAGAACAGTCTTTGAGGGTAAATTCCAAATGTTTTTTCCTCTGTGTTAAGATTGGCTGGGGTCAAGGGATAGGAACAGAGAGTCATTCAAGATGAAAATAATCCCAGACTTTTCACCTCTGTTTCCCAGAGCAGAGTCCTGTAGTCCCCAGGGCTCCGCCCTTCTGCCTGTCCGGGGGCATCTGAGGAGCCTCGTCCCCCCCCTCTTCTCCCAGCCAAGGGCGGAAGACACAATCTGAGAGCAAACAGGACGCACTCAGACCCGAGCCCTGGGCCAGGAGCCTTTGTGCCTTTTTCCCAACTCCACAAAATTTCCAAGTGAGACGAAAAAGGTGAAAATCCCGAGGTTAGAAGGTCTGAGACACACAGCAACCACAGTGCAGGAAGCTTGTGTTTTCAACTTGAGAAGAAACACAGGCAGCCCCCGGCCCCCAGAGACACCCACCTCTCCCCTGTTCCAGCAGTGTGTCTCCTCTCCCAGGGGTTAGTTAGCTGGGGTGGGAGAAGACAGACCACAGGGGGAAGTCCCCCCTCCTCCATTGCACAAGAGTTCCGCGAGCCTTGGAGGCTGCCAGCCTCCTGATGGGTTCTCAGGGCAGTACACCGCGTACACTTCCATCCTGTCCTTGCCACAGAGAGGAAATGTTTATTTCCACTTGAGCTTTAGACTGTCTCTCAACATGAAGCCACGTTTCAATGACACAATGGCTTTAAAATGAAGGACCAAGATTTAACATGAGTTCTAAGGCCTCTGGCTTCCTGTGCTTCTTTAGGGAAGAGGGAACACCAACAACTGGTGAGTTCAAGACGTCTTCCAGGACAGAGTCCACTGACTGTGGGGTTCTCAGACTGCGCTTCCTGGGCCAGCAACAGGAGCTGTTCCTGGAACGCCTTAGACGCACTCCCCCCCAGGCCCTGCCAGATCTGAGACTCTGTTGGCGCGACCAGGAACCTGTTCTGAGGCGCCAGTCCTTCCAGGGACCCATCACATCAGAGCTGACGAGCCACCTCAGTATGGGGTTCTGGGGCCAGGGAAGTACGAGCTGGGTGTTCGTGCAGCGACCAAACAGGCCAAGAGCCACAGCCTCCTTTGGATCATTTTGATGTTGTTTCTTAACATAAGCCTGAGATCAGAACATGGTGGTGCAAGATCAGAAGAGGAAGAGGCTAAGGGACTCCAAGAGCAGAGCTGACCTTAGGGCAATCGGGATAGGAAGGTTAACGTGGAAGATGGCCGGGTTCTGTGCCAGGCTCTGTGTGCAGGCTTCCACTCCAGGTCTTACAGAGAACTTTTAACTTTTGCTTTTTTTTTTTTTTTATATTCAAAAGGCTGTAGTCAAATAAGAGTGGAATATTCTCAGGGGAACACCCTCCTTGGCCATCTCTTAAAGCCTTGTTGCTGTTCCTAGGAGCACGCAGAGGAAGGCAGAGCCAGCATTTACCGGTCCGTATTCACCAACTCTTCCAAAGAAATGATGTGCTTCCCAGACTTCCCGTACCCCGACGACTACCCCAACTACATGCACCACAGCAAGCTCCAGGAGTACCTCCGGGCCTTCGCTCACACCAAGAGCCTCCTAGGACACATACGGTTTGAGGTGGGTCCTTGGGACTCGCACGGCTGCTGTTCACGTGGGGTACAGGCTGGAGAAGGGGGCACCTGCCGTGGAAAGCAGAGCTGAGTGCTCCCAAACCTCTCCAACCCGTTGTTGGTTCAGATGATAAAATACTCACTGGGATTTTTGCTCCCAGGCTCATTCCCCACTGGTCTCCTAGGGCTTCCAAAACACCTTAGAAAATGCTGGAGGCTGAGTTCCCATAAGACTGCCCTTCCCACCCGCAGGCTCTGATGTTTGGGAAATAACCCAAACTTCTCTAGCCGGTATTTCAAATTCTGTGGGTTCAATGTCAATGAGCTGTGCCTCAGGGGAGCGTGGCTTGGGCTAAAAATTCTGACACTTTGAACAGGTACAACTTAGGGACCGACAGAGTCACGGCCCACCCTTCACCCACCTGGCTCACTGCATTTCTCCTTGAAGGGTCATAAAGGCTATGACACGAAGTGCTGTTTCTGTGATGAGGATGTTTTATGCTTATTTGAAACCCTTGGCCTCAACTGTTCAGTGCACACACAGAGAATGGGCAAAATAATCAGCAAAATTATGGGTTGGGGTCCTATTTACATAAGAATTTACCTGGAGTAGTTCCAAACACACAGCTAAAATAAAACTTTCTAGTTGTCATTTCACTCCACTCATTTACTCATTGCACTCATTCATTTCACTTATTTATGATATTCCAAATGCACGAGGTGCCTCACTTTAGACATTAATGAAGTTCCCAACGTGGGCTCTGCACTATGCTGTATGTTGTGTGTCCAAAAGAACAGCCAGAGACTCAGCCCTCAATAAACACATATCAAAACAAATACGTAAATGTGAACATTTAGAGTAAGTGACAACATAAGATTTAAGTGACAATTTAAATCAAAAGAGGAAAGTTTAAAAAGCTGTCTATAGTTCATAAAGAAAATAACACTATGGAGATCATAAAGCAAGAGTGTACTTTGGGGCTGGGCATGGTGGCGCCCACCTGTAATCCCAGTGACAGGGGAGGCTGAGGCAGGAGGATCACAAGTTCAAGGCCAGCCCCAGCAACTAAGCAAGGCCCTAAGCAATTTAGTGAGACCCTGCCTCAAAATAAAAAATAATAAAAAGTTTACTGGGAATGTGGCTCAGTGGTAAAGCACTTCTGGGTTCAACCCCAAGTACCAAAAAATAAGAAAGATACCCTTTGAGGAAGGAACTTTTCTAAAAAAAATAATAAAATTTGAGTTGGTAGGTGTTGGGTAAGTGAGTGACATGACTAAAATTATGGAGGGGAAACGTGACCCACTTATATAGAGAATAGTGAGCAAACCAAGTTGGCCAAGAGGGAGATCATATCAGTTAGGAGAGGTTTAGCCACATACATCAGTAAACCTGCATGTTCCGTGGCTTTAAAAACAATGAGGGTGACTGTGCAGCCTTGTAAATCAAACCTGGGTTGGGCCCATCCCAAGAGGGGTGATGGCACCACAGCCATCAAGGTCTTTACCATTTTAGCATGAAGTTATATCATCAAGGTTGCCTCACCATCCAAAACAGCTGCTGAAGCTAAAGTCATCACAACCACCTTCTAGGCAAGGAAAAAGAGGAGGGGATGAGGGGCAAAAGAATGTTCTCTGTCTGAATCAGCGCCCTTCACAGACTCCCCTGGAGAGCCTATCCAGCACTGTCTGCTTACATTTCAGAGCCTGAGAAGTGTATCCCTTTGCTGGTTATTTGATCACTCCAAACAAAATCAGGGTTCAGTTAGAAAGGGAGGAGGGGATTAGATAGTGGGGAAGCCCACTGTGGGACTATAGGAAAATAAGACTAAAAAGTAAATTGGAACAAAATCATGTGGACTTTTAATTATGGCACTAGATGTGTAAAATGGATCCTAGATACTGTGAAGTAACTGAAATAATTTTGAGCAGGAGACAGAATCAATGTGATCTTTAGAAAGACCATGTGATGAGCAGGCCCGTGGCCATCAGAGGACGGAAGACAGGCTCCTTAGAGACCCTTGCAGCAACCTGTGCACGGGGTTATCAGAACTGGACCCAAGGCCACGTTAGAGTCAGGAAAACCAAGAGAACAAGAGTGAGATTTGAGATAAGGGTTTGTTTGGCTTCAGAGGAGAATGAAGAAATACCACGCAGAACAAGCTGTGGGTAAAGCCAGGTGGCTGGTAGGTTCATGTCATCTTCAAAGAAATACAAACATGGAAACCAGTTTGGGAGAAAACGTAAGTAGATCATCATAAAAACACGGCAGTAGCCCTCCGGGATGGCAGGAAGGAGTCCACGGTGATGCACGTGAGCTCAGCCCGTGGGAGTTGCTCACATTTCCAAGGGAGAGCCTCTGCGTCCACGGGGACACACCATCTGTACCTCACAGATGCCAGCCAGGGAGGGCAGGAAGCCATGTCAAGGGGCGGCAGTGAGCATCGTCTGGATTGTTCCAAGGCACCAGTCACAAAAGGCTCGATGTCATTTACCCCCAATCAACTAATGAGATGTCAGAAAGACAGAAATACCAGGGGTGATGTTCCTTATGCAATTTGAAGACTCACTGAAGATTTGCCTTGACTCCTATTTTAATCTTTCCATACATTTCCCAATGGCCAGGAAAGCTCACAACAATGATTTCTTCCACAAAAAATACTGCAAGAAAGAAAGAAAAAAAAAACATAAAAATTATAAATAAAAGGAACGTTTCTGGTTTTCTTTAAGACTCTGGTTACCAGTGTCAAGAAATGTCCTGGCTTCCTAGTCACTGGCCAATGGACGGTGGTTACTGAGAAGGACGGGAAGCAGGAATCCACTGTTTTTGACGCTGTGATGATTTGCTCAGGACATCACGTGTACCCCAATCTGCCAACGGATTCTTTTCCTGGTAAGTATGAAAAAATATATAACAATCTGGGGCTCATATGCAAACACCAGGGTTGACAACAGATCTTTCAATAGATGGGACCTAATTGTTCTTAAGTTACCAGAGGTTTCAGAAGGAACACCGTTTCAGTCTGATGATAGGCTAAACATAAACCCCTGGGTTAGGAGAGTCAAAGGTGTTCAAGTCAGAGGTCCAACAGACACGAGCTCTTGTTTCACAGAATAGTGACGACTCAATAGAAGTTCTGATGACACAGGGGGTCTCTGAGTGGAGCGCATTCAAAAAAGTAGAGTCCAGCTAGCAAATAATTTAAAGAAAGGCACATTTTCTTATTTATAGGAAAAACCCTAAGACTCTAAATTCATCTTCCTCCACAATTTGCAAATTGATTTTTGTAATCCCAGTGGTTTGGGAGTGTGTGTGTGCTTGTGGGGTGTGTATGGAGGCACACTCCAGGGCTGTCCCAAAGTGGCAAATGTCACAGCCTCTCTGCCCTCTCTACTACTCTTCTTTCCTTCTCTGCAAAAGGAACACAACACAGTGCCCTCAAAGACAGAGTCCCATTTCCAGCCTGAGATCCACGGGACAAAAAAGAGTGAAAGTTCATGAAGAATGGAAGACCCAACTGTGGATGTTAGTGGGCAGTAGATGCAGCAGTTAGTTGTGTGAGGTCAGAACTCCTGGGCTTCACTTCCTATTCCTCCAGCGCCGGACCACTGAAGCTCTTTGTCCCAGTTTCTTCACCTCTTAAAATAGAGATATCAATGCTGACCATTCAGGGCTGTTATCCAGAGTCGATTGTTAAAAACGTGACAAGCACTTAGCAGAGGATCCAGCCCACAGTAAGCACTGCATACGCATTAACTACTATTATATGATTGTCCAAACAGAAATTCTAACACCTTGAGATGTTAAGACACCAGAGGTAATTATTTGTGGGCTTAGTGTCAAGAACTAAATGGGGAAGGCACGTCAGTTAGGGAATTTTTAAAACTAAGGCTGATAATAGGCTTTTAAAAAATAGTAAAAAATTGAGTCTTCACAATTTCCAAAAATCACTCAGACCCCTCCCCGTTGCGCCTAGGCCTAGAGCAATTACAAGGCAACTACCTCCACAGCCGTGATTACAAGGGCCCAGAAGCCTTCAGGGGGAAGAGGGTCCTTGTGATTGGCCTGGGGAACTCGGGATCCGACATTGCTGTTGAGCTCAGTCGTCTGGCTGCACAGGTACGTGACCTAATGGCTTTGGGGAAGAACACACACTAAATCAACAGCCTGGGCCCTGACGATGGTGTCCACCATGTCATACCTCCTGCTGATGTGCCCTTTAAGTCAAGGAGGCCCTGACACACATCTGCAAGTGCAGAAAGGTAATGTGGCCCAGGCCGGGAAGAAAGTTCCTTCTGTTGAGACCTGAGGTGAGTGTCCAGGCATAATTACATGAGTAAGTGTGTCTATGTAGGTTTTTGTGTTAATTTTATGTTCTGATAGCCTCCCCGTCAATCGGTTCCTAATCAGGCCCTATCTGTATTTGTGTCACACTATTTCCCAGCACTTACCATGAGAAAGGTACTGCGTCTGTTCTGAAGTTCTGGAACAGGCACATGGTTTGGTATTGGGGACCGCTTATTCCTTCGACAGCCAGTGTTCAGTAAATATTGGGTCCAAACTCTGTTATGCTAAAAAGACAGGCATAGTTAGAGCAGTTCCTGACTTCAAGGCCAGGAGAGGGGTGGACAGGGCACGACGAGACATGCGTGGACCATCATGAAAGGCAGTGTTAGTCTCCCAGTGGGACGAGTGTGGCCACAGCCGCACCATGAAAGGCACCTACCCCCAGGCCGAGCTGGACGGGACCAGCTGACCCACGCTTGACCTGGCCCTGAAGAAACCCAGTGTATTTTTAAGGAGACAAGTACTCAATACATAAACTCATAAATGGATGTAAATAAAATCTAAAGTGTTTTAAAGCTAAACATCCCCTCAAGTTGTCACAGGGAGGCTAGAACAGACCAGAGGCCAGACTCGCCTTTGTTCGGAAAGCCCAGGACTCCTGGGGCAGGTGCACGGGGAGGACTGGGGCAGGACACAAGGGAAGGACACCGGGCACAGAGAACAGAATTACTCCGTGGTGTCTCCGTGGCCTCATTTCATGTAGAGATTCAGCTGCACCTTTCCCTTCAGCCCGCCTCCTTCTACCACCCACCCTCCTGGGGCTCCCAGACCCCCGTCTTGGTCTATGAGTAGGTTAGAGTAAACGTGCCCAGCTGAATACTTCTTAAGGCAGGTTCTCATCCTGTCAACACTGTCACCAGCCCTCGGGGGAGGGAGAAGGGATCCTGCCTCCACCTACTTTCAATTATGGACTTTTTCATCCAGACCCTCGCCTTTGAGAGGTTTCAGTCAGTTTTATTTTGGTTTGGTTTGGTTTGGGTATTTTTGTTTGTTTGTTGTTTGTGGTTTTCTTCTGTGACCAGAAGACCTGACCAGAACAATTTTAGAGGAGGACAAGTTTACTTGGTGCTCATGGCTTCAGAGGCCTCAGTCCATACGGAGCCAATTCTGGCGCTCTTGGCCTGAGGTGAGGTACAACATCATGGTGTGGCGGAGGAAAGCAGCTCAGGATACGACAACCAGGAAGCAGAGAGAGCTCCCCTCACCACAAGCAAAATATCAACCCCAAGGGCACGCCCCCATGACCCCCCTCCACCAGCCACCTGCTGAGTTACCATCCAGTCAATCCCTACCCCTGGATTTATGCACTGGTTACATTAAGGCTCTCATAACCTGAACGTTTCACCTCTGAAATTTCTTGCATTATCTCCCACATGAGCTTGGGGAGAGACCTGATTTCTAAACCATAAGAGAAGGTGTTCCTATCTAAATATTGAGGGAAATATGTAGAAGTGTACAGAGAAATTGAGTCATATTTGCTTATTTCTTACAAAGTGATGCTGCAGTCTGTGTTGCCTTTCCCTTCCAGGTCATTATCAGCACCAGAAGTGGTTCCTGGGTCATGAGCCGGGTTTGGGATGACGGCTACCCTTGGGACATGGTGTATGTTACCCGCTTTGCCTCCTTTCTCCGGAATATCCTTCCATCATTTGTCTCTGACTGGTTATATGTCAAGAAGATGAACACGTGGTTTAAGCATGAGAACTATGGCCTGGTGCCTTTAAATCGGTACTACAAATAGTATATATTTTATCTCTCAAAAAGCAGGGCACTAGTTCAAGCAAATTCTTTCTCTCTCGACCCCACTGTCATTGTCTCATTGAGTCGGGTGGGATTAAATTAAAAACTGCACAGATGACACAAAAGACTGGATGATCATTATGGGTTGGAAACCTTGTTGAGACCAGTTGGGAGAAATGTATGCACATGAATCCGAATGGGCGTGGACCAGGCAGCTAAGTCATCCTGAAGAGCAGGATTCAGAGTAGCTACAAGCCATAGCATAGGGCGTGGAGGGCAGAACAAATATTTTTTAAGACTATCTTGTCCATGCTTATGGGTGAATGAGGTTATCAATAACATCTGCTTCCCAAGACTCTTGTCATGTTCCATAGAATAAGAAAGATAAAAATGATTTTGTAAGCCATAGAGCATTACAAATATCGGCTCCTAGCCTCAAGGATTCTGATGTGTTTCTAAGGCACATTTAACAGAATAGTGTCTCTACCAGTAGGAAATGTCAGAGCAAAAGTAGATGCTTCCTCCACCCCTGGCAACTGCACAGTTTTGCGAGGCAGTCAGGAGACAGGGCACCTATAAAACAATGAAGGTCCATAGTGCCGACGTGACCTGTAAAATTACTAAGTTGTTCATTTGTTTACTTCTTCTGGAGAAAAAGCTCGATATTCACTAATGAGGAAGGCGTTCTGATTAGAAAGATCAGTATGGGGTGGGGGAACTTTTAAGTGGGTAAGAAAAGAAAGGCTTCACTAAGACATTTCACCTGCTGGCCATGTGGGCCAGAAAGTTCCACTGCGTGTAGAGACACCAGTTAAGGAAAAATGAGGAGGAACTGTAAATCAAGCAACAGGTTTAGGAATGAAACCCTGATCCAAAGCATTTATCCTACCCAGTCTCACTGACTGCTCTATCCCTCATGAAAAATTAATGTTGACTTTACACCTTTAAAATAGATATGTTTAACACAAAAGGCATTCCAAAGCTTGAGCCGGTTAATATATTTTGTCCTGTAAAAGTAATTGCAAACTATATTTTGGCTTCTCCATTTAGACAGTTAATACTCAGTTTTGGGAATCCATTCATTCTGAGAACAAAGCTCCCTCCCAGAAAAGGTTCGGGTACCCTTATCACTCCGCCTTTGCTTGAGGTGAAGGAGAACAGAATCAAAAACAGGCTTTGCTGTGACCTCCTTCTTTTTTTTCTTTTTTCTTTTTTTTTTTTTTTTGTGTGTGTGTGTGTAAGGCAAAAAGAGGTTACAGAGTTACAGAGGTGGAAAACTGTGGAAATACATAAAGATAAATTTTAACATTTAAACAGTTTCTTGGTATATGAGATACTTAGAGGAAATTCCACAATCCCTGAAGGAAACTTAAGTCAACATGAAATATGTTGTCATAAAAAATATCATTCCTAGAATTTTGGCAACCAAAGCACAGTATCTAAGTTGCTATTTTTTATTTTGTGACCAGAGCTGATGGAAGAAAACCAAACATGGCAATAAAACACTACGAATCTTTAAAATCTTCCCTACACACGACCTTAAAATTGGAATGATAATTCACTTACAGTAATTGTGCTGGCATGTGCCGGGTATAGTTCAAAGTGCTCTCTAGATAATTGTTCATTTAGTTCTCACAAGAACCCTATGAAGAAGATACTAGGATTCTCCCCTTTGTACACATAAGGAAACAAAGAGAAGCAACAGCCAGAAAGAGTCGGAGCTGTCACGCACTTGGGCCTTGTGGCTTCGGTGTCTACACTCTTAAGCACTTTATTATGTCTAGAAGAGGTTTTATTCTATCTATCTGATGAATCGCCAAGTCGTAAAAGCACCCATAAGAGAAGGCTCAAGTTTCAAGGGTCAAAAAAGGAAGCTCCAACAACATCTTAAGAATTGTCACAGATGTAGGAAAGGAATTTTCCAAGAGACTTCTGTGACCTTCATGCTAATGGTTAGCGGATCCAATTTGGTAACAGTTCTGTAAGCAGCTGCAGATATTTCTTGGAAATGAGGTATTTTTTAACATTTTTCCCACATTTTTTATTGGTGCATTATAGTTGTACGTACTGATGGGATTAATTGTGACATATTCATACATGCACACAATATAACACTAGAATTTGGCCAATATCACCCTCCAACATTTAAAAACAGTTCTCTAGGTGGCTAGCTTGAGCTAAGAATCATAGCTCTCACGGGCAATGGTCTTGAAGTTATTGAGCGTATCTAATACACGTTAAATTTGTAATAAAAATGGGTCAAATGAATGCATATAAGATCTCTTTTCTACTGGTTATAGGAATTTTTCATGCCTTATAAACATGAATTTATTCATTTAAAAATGTCACAGTGGCTTTATTAAATAGTAACAGGTAACTATTCACAAGATCACTAATCAACCACTAATCATAAAGCTAGTGACTGGACCATCACACACTTTCTTTATGTTTTCTTTCCTTAGTGCAGACATACATGCTTTAAACATGACTTCAGCTGTTGCTTGGAAAGGAGGTGTTTCACAGCAAGGCTGTTTGCCTCTCGTTTCTGCAGTCCCCTGAGGAAAGAGCCTGTGTTCAATGATGAGCTCCCATCCCGCATCCTGTGTGGCACCGTGTCCATAAAGCCTGGGGTGAAGAAGTTCACAGAGACCTCAGCCGTGTTTGAGGATGGGACGGTGTTTGAGGCCATCGACTCCGTCATCTTCGCCACAGGCTACGGTTATGCCTACCCCTTCCTTGATGACTCCATCATCAAAAGCAGGAACAACGAGGTCACCTTGTACAAAGGCATCTTCCCCCCTCAGCTCGAGAAGTCGACCTTGGCTGTGATTGGCCTTGTCCAGTCCCTGGGGGCTGCCATCCCCACAGCTGACCTGCAGGCCCGCTGGGCTGCGAAAGTGTTTGCAAGTAGGTGGGCCATCTGTATTTCATTCTTTTGGTCAATGAGCATTTATGGAGCACCTCCTGTATGCCAAGTACTGTGCTAGAAATCCAACGGGGTAAGATAAGCAGGTGCTCCTTGACTTCACAGAATTTCATATGGGACGTGGGGGGTTGCCACAACAGGGGAAGCTGTGGGGTGTTCTGGGGAGGGAAGCTGGCCAGTGACTCCGTGGAACAGCATGAGGAAAGACACCTAGGTGAAGAATGACATTGCATGTGTGAGGGAGCAGAAGCATTTGGTGTAAGGGAATATAATGCAGAGGAGGGGAGTAGCAAGGGATGAAGGGAGGTGCTAGATCACCAGGGGCAAGAAAGGCTATAAAAAGCAGCCTGACCTTCTCACAGGGAACTGAGCAGCCTTTGCAAGGGTTCACGTAAGAGAGGACAGCATGGGGTCAGTGCAATGACAGGTGCATTGCAAAGGCGAGGAGGGCCTGGTGGGCACTGGGGCATGCTGGAGAGCTGGTGAATATCAGCTGGTGTCACAATCACAGTATCACTCTGACTCTGTGAAAGTCTTCTCCCCCCGCCTTCCTTGATT